CAGGGCTCCAGACCCCCACCCTGCCTCGCCTCTCGGGCCCGCCCCCACCTGAGTGCCTCCCGGAGGGCCTTGAGCTCCCGGTCCTTCTTCTCCACCAGGGTGCTCATCTGCGCCAGCTTTGTCTTGAGCATGCACAGCTCCCTGCTCTGCTGCTGGACCAGGGTCATGTGCCGCTCCAGCTCCCTCTTCTGCTTCTCGCTGAGGTCCCCTGGAGAGATTGGAAAGTGGGTAGGAGCCTCCTGCCTTGCCCCTGCCAGGCCCACCAGAACTAGTAGGCAGTCCTGTCCCCCGGCATCTTCACCTGCACCTTGGCCAATGACAGCCTGGCCTTCTGGGGTGCTGCCTGGGAGTCCCGCAGGCTCCTGCCTCACCCCAGCACTGCACCAGCAGGTCCAGCCGGGCCCACAGGGCATTTTGGGGTTTCCTGGCCAACAGTCAGCTGCCTGCTTCTGCCCTGTGTTACCCAAGGGTGTTCTTCAGCGCCTGGTGCCTTCTCTGCTCTGTGTCCCCCCAATGACTGGATCTCCCCCGACTGACTGTGGAAAAACCACTCTGAAAAATTCAGTCATGAATGTCGTAGGGACGTGACCAGGATGGACACGGGGGCGCAAATACCACCGAAGGCTTAGGGGTGTCCAGGCTTCAGGTGGGAAAGAGCATTTTCTCTCCCTCCACTGCCCTGAATCTGGTTATTCCCATCTCCCAACGCCTGCTTGCTCAGTGGTGACCAGGGCTGGGAAAGAGGAGGGACTATGCAGAGCAGGAGGAAGGAGGGGACATGGAGGGGCGGAGGAGAGAGGAGCTGGGGGTGGATGGCCAGCCGGGTATGTCTGAGGAACACGCAGCCTAGTGCTCTCCTGCTGTCACCCTGTGTGGCCACTCTTGTCCATATCAACCCTAGAGGCAGGTTTGTGGCCTCCTGTTTGCATTTGAGGAAGAGGAGGCCTAGAGAGGTCCCTTGCACTCCGGAGTTCCAGGGATCCTGCAGGGTGGCCTGCCCGAGGGGTGCCATAGGATTCCCTCCAAGGCAGATGAGTCCTTTCCCATTAAAGAAAATTCTCCCAAAGAAGGAAGTTGCATCTCAGTGCAGAGGTCTGAGATCCTCTGCAGAATGTGGCCCAGGGCCTCTTGGGGTGGGGGGCTGGGAACCAGGGCCATGTCCACCATGTGGCCTGCCTGCCCCGGGGCTGCAGGTGCTTCAGGGGCACAGGAAAGCAGGGCCACCGTGGAGTTTCAGGCTGGACTGTCACTCTGGCGCCTCACTCCTTCTTTCTCAGGTGGGTGAGGAGGCGGGAGACACAGGGACTCTACAAACCTCTCAGGTCTGACATTCGGCCATGGGCTTCGTTAAGGTCTTTCCTCAACCTCATGATGACCTCCTGCTGGGACAGGATTTCCTTCTGAGCAGCCAGTAAGTCATCTCTGAAATCCACAGAAACAGGCCAAGTCAGGCCCACGTCACCCTGTGGTGTCTCCTGAGGGCTGAGCACAGAGTGATGCTCAGCTATGGTCTCTGGGACCCGCATCCAACCAGGGGACAAGGACAGGCTGTAAAAATTTTCAGAAATTCGTTTTGCCGTGTCTTCATTCAAAACCACCCTGAGCTAGGGGAGGGTCTGGCTGGGTTGGGTGGCGGAGGGCCACAGCCCTGCCTGGGGCACCCATCAGACTGACACCCTGTGGGCTTTTACGGAAGGGGTTCTCTGAGGCCGGGGAATAGCTGGGGAACCATGTGCTTTGCTCTCACAGCTTGAGCCCCGGTGGAGAGACGGGGCCGGTCGGGAACGGAGGCTGCTCATGGGGAGCAAGAGCAAGCAGCGGCTTCGGGGGCGGCAACCGAGGGGGGCACAGGATGTCGACAGGACCGCTCCCATCCCCAGGCCCAGAGGGCAGGGGACACCCTTTGGCCCCATAAGGGATGGCCGTCCTCTGGAGCGTCATTCCCTGGGAGGGCACTGGGCAGTAACGGCAGCCCCAGGACCTCGGCAGGGGACACGGTTGGAAGGATGCGGGGCCAGTTTCCGAGTC